AAGATTTACAGCCTTGGAAACCCTGTGCAGGCTCACTATGAGTCGGAACTGACTCCATGGTGCTTAACAGCAACAATACATTAGTGTAAGGTGGAGTCCTGGTGTGGCGCTGTGTGTTAATGTGCCAGACTGTAAAACCATTTGAACTGCAAGATAGGTTGGTGGTTCAAACTTACCAGCTGCTCCTTGAAAACTCTATACGGGGTTGCTATGGGTCGGAACCTACTCAAAGGCACTTAACAACAATAATTAGTGTAAGATATGCCTTAGGAAATATAAAGGAATAGATTAAGTAAACTGCAAAGAGACCAGAGTTGGGGGAAATGCTGCACCACATGAGATCTCCAAGGAACTAAAGATGGAGACAGGGACCTCCCAGAACCAACAGAGATAAAAAGCCTTACCCTTGAGCCAGCATCCTAAATTTAAGACTTATAGCTTCTGAAACAGTGAGAAAATAAATTTGTACTTCTTATAACCATCTACATGTGCTATATCTGTTATGTTGTTGTTGTTAGGGGCCATCGAGTCGGTACCGACCCATAGCAACCTTATGTACAGCAGAACGAAACACTGCCCGATCCTGGGCCAACCTCACTACTGTTGCCACACTTGAGTTCATTGATGCTACCACTTGGTCCAATCCATCTCTTTGGGGGTCTTCCTCTTTTCCTCTGACCTTACCAAACATGATATCCTTCTCCAGTGATTGGTCTCTCCAGACAATATGTCCGAAGTATGAGAGACGAAGTTTGGCCGTCTTGGCCTAGAAGGGGTGCTCTGGCTGCACTTCTTTCAAAACGGATCTATTGGTTCTTTTGGCAGCCCATGGCACTTTCAATATTGTCCTCCAACACCGTAACTCAAAAGCATCAACTCTTCTATGGTCTTCCTTATTCACTGTCCAGTTTCCGCATGCATATGAGGTTATTGAAAATACCGTGGCTTGGATCAGGTGCACCTTAGTCCTCAAACTAACATCTTTGGTCTTCAACACATGAAAAGGGTCTTGTGCAGCAGATTTGCCTCTGCAGTACGTCATTTGATTTCTTGACTGCTGCTTCCGTGAGTTTTGATAGTTGATCCAGGAAGAATGAAGTCTTGACAACTTCAATCTTTTCTCCATTGATAAGAATGTTGTTTATTGGTCCAGTGGTGAGGAATTTTGTTTTCTTGACATTGAGATGCAACCCATACCAAAGGCTGTGCTCTTTGATCTTCTTCAGTAAATGTTTTAAGTCCTCTTCACTTTAAGCAAGCAAGGTTGTATCATCTGCATATCGCAGGTTGTTAATGAGTCTTCCTCCAATCCTGATGCCACGTTCCTCTTCGTAGAACCCAGCTTCTTGGATTATTTGTTCAGCATACAGGTTGAGTAAGTATGGTGAAAGAATACAACCTGTTGCACACCTTTTTAAATTTTAAACCATTCAATGTTCCCATGTTCTCTCAACAACTGCTTCTTGGTCCAGGTATAGATTCCCGATGAGCACAATTAAGTGTTCCGGAATATTCATAATTTGCAATGTTGTCCATAACTTGTCATGATCCACACAGTTGAAAGCCTTTGTGTAGTCAATAAAGCACAGGTGGAAACATCTTTCTGATATTCTCTGCTTTCAGCCAACATCCATCGGACATCAACAATAATATCCCTCATTCCACGGCCTCTTCTGAATCTGGCTTGAACCTCTGGAAGTTCTCTGTCAATGTATGATTGTAGCAGTTTCTGTATTACCTTTAGCAAAACTTTATTTGCTTGGGATATCAAAGAGATTGTCTTATGATTTCCGTATTCTGTTGGGTCACCTCTCTTTGGAATGGGCACAAATATGGATCTCTTCCAATCAGTTGGCCAGATAGTTGTCTTCCAAATTTCTTGGCAGAGATGAGTGAGTGCCTTCTGTGCCACCTCAATTTCTTGAGAGATTTCAACTTTTATTCCATCAATTCCTGGTGCCTTGTTCTTTGCCAATTCCTTCAATGCACCTTGGACTTCCTCCTTCAGTGTCATGGGCTCTCTCGATCATATGCTACCTCTGGAAATGGTTGAACATTAACCATTTCCTTTTGGTGCAGTGACTCTGTGTATTCCTTCCATCTTCTTTTGATATACTGTCTGCATCATTCAATAATTTGCCCAGAGAATCTTTCAATAACAAAAGTCGAGGCTTGAATTTTTTCTTCAGTCCCCCCAGCTTGAGAAATGCTGAGCACACTCTTCTTTTAGGTGTTCTGATTCCAGATCTTTGCATATTTTGTTGTAGTATTTGGCTTTATCTTCTTGAGCTGATCTTTGTAAGTTTCTATTCAGCTCTTGGGCCTCCTCGTTTCTTCCATTTGCTTTAGCATCTCTATGCTGGAGAGCAAGTTTCAGTTTCTCTTCAGACATCCATTTTGAACTTTTCCTTCTTTCTTGTCTTCTCAATGTATTTTTGCTTTCTTCATGTATGATATTCTTGATGTCATCCCACAACTCTTCTGGTCTTCGGTCTTTAGTGTTTAATGTGCCAAATCTGTTCTTCAAATGATCTCTAAATTCAGGTGCAATATAGTCAAGGTCATATTTTGGCTCTTGTGAACTTGTTTTCATTTTCTTCAGCCTCAGTTTGAATTTACATATGAGTAATTGATGGTCTGTTGCATCGACTGCCACTGGCCTTGTTTTGACTGATGATAGGGAGATTTTCCATCGTCTCTTTCCGCAGATGTAGACAATTTGATTTCTATGTATTCCATCTGGCGAGGTCCAGGTGTATAGTCATTTCTTAAGCTGTCTAAAGAAGGTATTTGAAATGAACAAATAATTGGTTTTGCAGAATTCTATCATGTGATCTCCAGCATTATTTCTATCACCAATGTCATATCTTATAACTACTGATCCCTCCTCTTTGCTCCCAGCATTTGCATTACAATCACCAGTAATGATCAATACATCTTGATTTCATGTTTAATTGATTTCAAATTGGAGAAGTTGGTGAAATTCTTCTATTTCATCCTCACTGGCTTTAATGGTTGGTATGCAAATTTGAATAATAGTGGTGTTAACTGGGCTTCCCTGTAGGCTCATGGATATTATCCTATCACAGACAGTGTTGTACCTCATGACTGATCTGGATATGTTCTTTTTGACAGTGAATGCAACACCATGTATTCTTCTTTAATTTGTCACTCCTGACATAGTAAACCATGTGGTTGTCAGATTCAAAATGGCCAATACCAGTCCATTTCAGCTCACTAATGCCTAAGAGATCAATGTTTATACATTCCATTTCATTTTTGACAACTTCCAATTTTCCCAGATTCATACCTCGTACATTCTGTGTTCCGATTTTCAGTGGATGTTTACAGCTGTTTCTCTTCATTTTGAGTTGTGCCCCATCAGCAAATGAAGGTCCTGCAGGCTTTTCTCCCATGGGCTTTACTCCACTTGCATCATCACGGTCAACTCTACTTTGAGGAGGCAGGTCTTCCCCAGTTGCATTTTGAGTGTCTTCTAACCTGAGCGGCTGATTTTCCTGCACTATATCTGACAGTGTTTCTCTCCTATTCATAAAGTTTTCAGTGACTGAATATTCAGAACTAGTTCGTCACTCTTTCTTCCTAGTCTGTCTTCGTCTGGAAACTCATCTGAAACCTGTCCACCATGTGTGACCCTGTTGGTATTTAAAATACCAGTGGCATAGCTTTCAGAATCATAGCAACTCACAAGCCACTGCAGTACGACAAACTGACAGATGAGCAGTGGCTGTTTCTGTTATAGCAGTACTGATATATTGTTACACATTGTACACAATGTGCCTTCAGTTGATTTATGCATTTTCCTTTTTTTTTTTACTTAAATGATTATGAGTATTACAGTTGATTGTCCTACTTTGTTCTCTTAACCTACCTAGTGGTATATGTGTGTAATGAAACAAATTGAGTAACTTGAATTGAATTTTCTCTTTATGTTTGTTTTCCTATGTGCTTGAGGGCCATAATTTCTACAATACTAAGTACTCAGAGATTAAAATTACGACATATTTGTCAGATTTATCAAATTAATTTTTAAAGATAGTCTTCTGCTTAGAGTTTATTTGTATATGATGTGTACTACATTTTATAAGTAGCATTGGTCATACATCACTTATTTTTCAGCTTTTCATAAGGCGTTTCAGAG